ATAAATATCAAATATATGGAGAATGGAGGAAATTTTATGCTTGAGGATGATAGAAAAAGTCATAAAGGAAACATCTAAGAATGAAAATCTTGTGTGTTGAGAAACAGTAAATAAATCTTGCAAATGTAAGTAATTCAAGCAAGTAGTCTGAGGGAAAAAAGCTTAAAGCAAAAATGACGAGTTAACATTTTTGATATATACAATGCATAATCGAATTGATAGGGAAAGCATTAAAACTTCCACTCCTACCTCTTCTGCCCTCCCACATAGTTTACTCATACCTGGAGATACACGCAAAGAACATAAAGAGGAGAATACAAATTAATAAATATATAGTGAAGTGTTTGTTTTCCTTGGTTATAAAATTTTTTAAAATAAAAGTAATGAGATAATTCTCTGTTAGGTCGATAATGATTTTTTACTTATGTATTGTCAAAGGGGTGGTGAAATGGGCAGTGTCATTCATGTCAACACCTTTGGAAAATAATTTGCAGTATACATCAGGATACTAAAATGGTTCTTTTTTCCTGTGAGTGGTCACATTTTGTTTAGCAACTTAATTGAGATATCTTTCCCATATAAAAATTGTATATGTTTAAGGAATATAACTTGATGTTTTGATATATGTATACATTGTGTATATATATGTATATATATGTATACATTGTATATATGTATATATATGTATACATTGTGAAAAGATCACCACAATCAAGCTAAATAACTTATCCATTACCTCTACCTAGTTACTATTGTAACTGTTGTGTTTTCATGTGTTTGTTCATGTGTGTGTGTTAAGGTTTAATTTAAGATCTGTCCTCTCAGCAAATTTCAAGTATACAATACAATATTGTTAACTATCATCACTATGCTATACATTAAATCTCCAGAGCTCATCTTGTATAACTAAAACTTTGTACCCTACTTAAGAATATTTTGACACTTTCACCTGGTAATTCCATTTAAAAAAACCTAGCTTAAGGAAATTGTAAATTCAGAAAAATATTAGTATATATTAGAGGTCATCACAGCACTAGTTATAAAGGGAAATATGTAAACAATATGTGTAAACAAATATGTAGATAATAATAGAGAAATGAGTAAATGAACTGTAAATCTAGAAATTAGACATTTTAAAAGTTTATAAATTGTTATAAATTTGGAAAATGCTTATATTAAGTTGGAAAAATAGGATAAAAATATTTATATATTGTATGAGTACAGCTACATAAAATACGGATGGAAAAATATAAGGAGGGAAATTTTTAAAAAATCAATGGTAGTCTTTAAGATATAAGACAACTGTTGATTTTTTCAGTTATACATAGATATATAAAAATATATTGATATATTCTTTTTTTTACATTCTCTTCCATTATAGGTTATTACAAGATATTGAATAGAATTCCCTGTGCTATACAGCAGGTCCTTGTTGGTTATCTATTTTATATATAGTAGTGTGTATATGTCAGTCCCAATCTCCCAATTTATCCCTCTCTCCCTAATCCCCTGGTAACCATAAGTTTGCTTTCTATATCCATGATTCTACTTCTCTTTTGTAAATAAATTCATTTGTACCCCTTTTTTTTAGATTCCACATATAAGTGATATCGTATGATATTTGTCTTTCTGTGTCTGACTTACTTCACTCAGTATGACAATCTCTAGGTCCATCCATGTTGCTGCAAATGACATTATTTCATTCTTTTCTATGGCTGAATAATACTCCATTGTATATATGGACCACATCTTTTTTTATTATTTATTTATTTATTTATGTGTCTGATTCAGGTCTTAGTTGCAGCATGCAGGATCGTCATTGTGGCATGCAGGGTCTTCCGTTGCAGTGCGCAAGTTCTCTCTAGTTGTGGTGCAAAAGCTCAGTAATTGCGGCACACAGGCTCTCAAGTTGTGGCATGCAGACTCTAGAGCACGCAGGCTCAGTAGTTCCCCTGCAGCATGTGGGATCTTAATTCCCCAGCCACGGATAGAACCCATGTCCCCTGCATGGGGAGGCAGATTCTTAACCACTGGACCACCAGGGAAGTCCCTGGACCACATCTTCTTTATCCATTCACCTGTTAATGGACATTTGGGTTGTTTCCGTGTCTCGGATATTGTGAATAGTGCTGCTATGAACATGGGGTGTGTGTATCATTTTGAATTATAGTGTTGTCTAGATATATGCCCAGGAGTGGGATTGCTAATATTTTTTTAGAAAAGAAAAGGAAAAAAAAATAAAGTCCATGAGAAAAGAAAATAGAATTAGCAATTAGAATTAGTCATTCTAACTCACTGGCCAAATTAAATCCACCAGGTAAAAGCACTACCAGTCGATCAGCCTTGACTGTAAACACCATTTTTTTAGCAGCAAAACACTGAAGAAACCCAGCATGTCTTACAGGTATTATCAGATAGAGTTAAGCAGGTGTGGACCAAACACCTATTTTGAGTTTTAATTTTCAAACCAAAGAAACCAAAGTTTATCTCAGCAACAAATAGTTGTTTACTTATGAACAAAGGCAAAAGAGTACCAATATGGGTGGTATCAGCACAAACAAAAAAGTACTCATTTGGTAAACTCCTTCGTAAGGCCTTGACAAAATCTTATAGCACCTAATCTAAAAAATAAAATTTTATAAGGAAATAGTGTAAGGTTTAATATCTGTATAAATCTTTATGGCCCTAATCCCTTCTCCAGGAGAATTGATTGGATGTTAAAATGTCAAAAACTGAAATTTGGAAGGTAACCTATTAAAGAAAAAAAAGTTGAGATAAAAATGTTCATGGTCATGTTGCATGATATAGAATGTAGTTAGCCCTAATTTTTGGTTTAGAGAAGTTACCAGCTGAATCTCCCCTGTAAACCCTTTTTAAAGTGTTTCTGTGACATTCTGGAGCCAAGTCTCTCAGGGTACTGCATCTCCAAAATGCTGTGAGCCTGGTTCCACTCCAAAGTTTCCAAGAGCCTCTAAAGAAAGGTGCTGATCTCAAAGTAGCCATGCAATTCCAATTTGCTTGGGACAGGGTACAGGGGACCTGGAAGAACTTTGAGAAATGTGCTGCAGGAATATGGGCTTTGGAGTCAGATACACCTGGTTCAGGGTCTGGAGCCTTGCTTGAATATGTATGACCTCAATACCACATTTGTAAAATGGGAGTAATAATAACACATTATGTGTTCAAGATTAGCAGTGACGATCAAAAGCACTTCCTATACTGCCTGTTTCATAATTAGTAGAAAATATCATTGTTATTAACTTGGTTCCCACTGGTAACCAAGGGTTTAGATTTTTTAAATACTTAAAATGTAACCACTTGGGGCAAAATGACCCAGAGTCCAGGCTCAGTAAAAACTGTCTTGTTGAGATCCTCTGTGTGTTCCCAGAAGCCTCTAGAATTTCCTAAGAGTTTGGGGCTAAGAATCTTCTGAACCTAGAGATGCTACCAGATATTTAGGTGGAAACAAAGAGGCAGAATATTATCCATATGGGGGGTGACCAACCGTCCTGGTTTGCCCATGACTGAGGGGGTTTCCAAGTCACAGGCTTTTCAGTGCTAAAGCCAGGGCACCTTATAGCACCTGATCTAAAAAATAAAATGGAGCTGAGCTGGTCACCCTCTGTGCACCTGCGTCACTACACAGGTGCTGTGATGTGAGTGTGTGTGGTGGACAGGGTCCCGTTAGCTTCAGCTTGTCAGCCCTCCTCTCCCACAGCTCTGATCCCTCACTCTCAGTAACAGCCTTGTATCACGGACCCCAGCCAGGGCTCGCATCACCCAGTCTCATAATGACAGCAGGGGAGTGAGAATACTTAGTGGAGTCGGGAGAGCAAGGTTTGTCTGTCACCTCTAGCAGTGACTGGTAAGTGCTCATGAAAAGACACTAAATGCTCTGATTTTCACAATGAGAGGAAATTATACTGACTTCAGGGCTTGTTGTGAAGGCGAAGTGAAGTACTGTGTGCAGAAGTGCCCATTAAACTGTCGAACACTCAGTAAATGAAAATTACAGTAAGTGATACCCCTAAGGTTAAGAAAGTAAGAAAAGAGCCTTTGTGTGCACAGGGAAATGGACCTCCGTTTATTGCTGAATCATTCTTAATAGCAGAAATAGTTATGCAATTGTAGTAGCCAATGGCATACAACTGCTAGTCACTAGAATCACAATGATTTTTGTTCTGCCTTAGCAAACCAAACCTCAAGGGTGGAGTTTTACTCTGATCTTTGTTTTTTCAAACACTCCAAACTCAGGTGGTAAGGCAAACAACCAGCTGCAAGCTGAAACTCATCCTTTAATCTTTCCGCTATGCCAAGCCATGCCAGGATGGGGCCAAGCTGGAAAGCAGGGTTGAGATGGGGTTTCTGCAGCTGTACCCTGACAGGTGAAGATTTTGCTAATCCTTTTTCAGGCATGCTGTGCCAGTTTTCAGAACTGCTGTGTGAGATTATGTTTGGCATTTTCAAAATTTTTCTTCTCCATGCAAACCCTGCCTAGGAAAAGAATCCAGAGCAGATTTTTCATTATAAGGCAAGGGCTTCACCATCTGCTCCACATAAACTCTCCATTGTGCTCAGCTCACCAGCCGAGTGTGCTGGTTGATGAGAATTTCCGTTCAAGGAGATCAGGAATTGTGGAAAATGTATAAATCCAAGTCATTTTGTGCCCCTCTTGAGCTCCCCTTAAGAAAAAACAGAACAGTTAGGGAAATTGGTTTTGCCATGTATCTGGCTAAGGACGAGTTGAAAATAATTTCAAGGCACCAAGGCCCGGCAGTTCTTCATTACTGCCATGGGTCTAGGGATTGTTTCTTGCAGAGGACAAGCCACAAACCATCACAACAATGGGAAGCGTGCTGCCTAAGCACCAGAAGGCAGGATCATGGCCTTGGAAAGAAGGCAAAGATGGCTCTGGATGCGCTGCATGGCCTTAAGTCAGGTTCATTGATTTGTTCTCACTTTGCTTCCAGAGTTCCCCTCAGGACTTGTCTTGGTAAAACATGGAGTACGATTCCAGAATGTTAGCACCAGAAGTAGGCGCAGACCACTTCTCCGTTGCAAAAGTCCACGCCATATTCAGAGGGAACTCTCTTCCTGGCACAGTGAGAATGTGGCACTCAGAGTGAATCAGCCATTTCCGTGCCTGCTGCTCCGCCCAGCCTCGCCTTGTGTTTTTTTTGTTCTTTTGTTTGTTTGTTTGTTTTGCGGTATGCGGGCCTCTCACTGTTGTGGCCTCTCCCGTTGCAAAGCACAGGCTCTGGACGCACAGGCTCAGCGGCACAGGCTCAGCGGCCATGGCTCACGGGCCCAGCCGCTCCACAGCATGTGGGATCCTCCCGGACCGGGGCATGAACCCGTGTCCCCTGCATCGGCAGGCAGACTCTCAACCACTGCGCCACCAGGGAAGCCCTCTCCTTGTGTTTTACATTATCAGTTAAGATGGTTAGAGAGTAGATCCAGGGGAATGTTGAATCCTGTCTCCATGGGATGCTGTGGTGTGACGAGGTTATCTTTGGTCTAGAAACTTCTCAGCTTTGCAAGTTCAAGAACTTGATTTTATTAGTATGCCTAAGTTTGCCAGGGAAGCTCTCCTTGTGTTTTACATTATCAGTTAAGATGGTTAGAGAGTAGATCCAGGGGAATGTTGAATCCTGTCTCCATGGGATGCTGTGGTGTGACGAGGTTATCTTTGGTCTAGAAACTTCTCAGCTTTGCAAGTTCAAGAACTTGATTTTATTAGTATGCCTAAGTTTGATTAGACTCTGAAGGCTGATTCACATGAATCACACCCATGAAGAATTGATAAACTAGATACCAATTTATAATTTTATAATATATTAATTTATAATGCTTGCCACTATAACTTTGAATAGATTCTGCACGAGGAACATAATGGACAGATGTAATATTCAGAATATTTATCAAACCTGAAAGGCATGGGCACCAATTAATCAGAATGGGTCCACAATCCATTATAATAGATGCCAGCTGGCTTGCTATTTTAGGGCATATTAGGGAGATAGCCCTGGAAATAGGGGCAAAAGTTAATATTTAAGTAACCCTAGTACCTGCCAGATACTAATATATGATCAATTTACGTGGACTTTTTTAATTGAAAACTTACAATGACACTTTGAGGAAGGCATTAAAAAAGCTGGCTATTGAAGATTTCAGATAACCTGCCCTTGGTCCAACAGGTAGTAAAATAGTCTGGTTTTACACACAGGTGCATATGTACCATACTGCAAAGGGAAATTCTCCCCTGGTACATGCAGGACTGTGGCCCTGATTTTCTTTTCTGGTCCAAGGAATGACAGTATGTGACACGATGGAGCCGCATGGCAGTTCTCACTGACGACAGGACCCAAGGTTGCATAACATGCAAAAGCTAGTGGCTAAATGAAGTCTGAGCTATAATCCTGTGGGGGAGGACTAAACTGAGAACAAGGCTGCAACTTGCCCTGGATTATTTCAAAACAAAAAACTTCTAACTTAAAAATAAAAGGTTTAATTATGCCCCAAATACACTGCATTTTATTTTCCTAATTAAAAATCAACACAGTCTAATAAAGGGTTTGCTTTTGATGCTGGCGATGTCACTCCCTTTAATACTTCGGACCTAATCTTGGAAGCTTAATTTGGACACTCAAGTAGGAATTTTCTGAAACATTTCAGTGCTTTATGGAAAGAGAGAAACAATATTTTATATCAGAATATGCTTGAAAATCAGAGATATGGCCACATTTTTGCCAACATGAAAGAAGGAGAGGAGATGGCCTCCTTGGCATCTGAAGTGACAGTCTTCAACAATGCCCAGGGGCTCTTCCCTTCCCCATTTTTTTTTTCTTTTTTTGAATCCTGGTTCAAAAAGCCCAACCTGAGGTCATGCTAAAGCACAGCCACTCTGTAAATGCAGATTCTGCTTCTTCCCTCTCTCCATCTACCCCAGTAGAGATGTGAAAAAGTCAACAAAACAAATTAGGTGGATCTAAAATTATTCATCAGAATAAACAAATTATTAACTTTTTCAAGTGCACCATGGGGTTGGAATAGTTCCTTTTAAAGAGAAAAATGGGATAAGACTGAACAACCTAATTTTTTTATATTTAAATGATCCATTATAAAATCTTAATGATTCATCTAAAAAATATTTACTATATTTTTTCTTCCCATCTTTTTAGGTCTTTCCAGATAAAATGATTGGCTTATACATACTCAGTTTGGTTCATTTTCAGTGTTTTAGAGTGAAAAAAAAATCATAGGTTTTGGAGTTAGAGACTGAGCTTGGCCAGGTACTAGCCATATACTTTAACCAAGTTACCACATTTTTCAGAGCCCCAGTAAATGAGGCATGTCTTTGAAGGGGTGTTTTAAAGTTAGAAGAAGATAATGTAATTAAAATGCACATTGTAATAGGTACTTGCCAGGATAATTTTGTTTATTTTTGATTGCTAATCATTATTTTGGAGTGTAATACTTTTCATTTTTCAACCCAAATGTCTACAGACATATTTTAAGTTCATACAAATCTTTTGGGTATCACCTGTTTGCTCCCCTCGGTTCCCTCTCTTCCCTGCTCTGTCCTCAGGGAAGGCTCACTAACTGGATACGTTGATGGACTCTCTTGCCTTCTGGCTGGGTTTTGGCCAAGGGGGGATCATAGGCAGAAGAAGAGGTAAAGAGTCGGGTTGAGGATTTATTTCCCAGGTGCTTCTCTATGGGTCCCTGTAGCAAAGGCCACAGCCGCTGTCAGGGGCCCTCTCTGTGCAGCTCTGTCCCTCTCCTGGTTCCAGTGAATGCTCCCTCTCCCACCTCCCAACACCCCAAGCCCCCCTTACTCACTCCAGGTACTAGACCACTTCTTGTTTGTTGCTTTTTAAAAATCCTGTCCACAGCCTTACCACCTATTAAACTCTTCTCAATAATTCAGCTTGGAGGTAGCATCTATTTCCTGCTAGATCTAGAAGTGATACAATAGTTATTACACTTCCACTAGTATTGCTTCCAAGCTTCATAAGATTTTGTTTATATTACATATATATGTGTATAGTTATCAATCAGGTTCTTCCACGAGGCTTTCCATCATAGCTAACAGAAATGTGTTCTGGAGGAGGTTTGGCTGAACAGAAGCTTTGGTTTCAAACAACTGGGTTCTGGTCACAATTCTGCCATTTCTAAGCTCTGTGGTCTATCCAAGACTTCTCCGTAAGACTCAATTCTTTCATCTGTGAAATAAGGATAATAGTAGTTTCTATCTCATAGGATAGTTAGGATACATGTCATTGTTCAATTAATGTCAGCTATTAAGAATAAAAAAAGGATGCCGAGCTGATCATGAACGAGCAGCTGAGCTGTCAAGTCTGCCTTCAGTACTGTAACATTTCAGGCCAAGATGGAGGTACTGAAATCAGGCCTTGTGTGAACCCAGTGTGAACAGGGGACAGGGCAGCTGAGTGCTGTAGGAACAGTCAGCACCCTCTGGCTACAGAGCAGATCTTGCTGGAGGCCTGGCTCCACAGCCATTTTTTTTTCCACCCATGACTCTGCATCACCCTACCAGGAAAGGCTTTTTAAAACAAATTGCAGGTACTATTTCAGAGTCCCAGAATTTTTACAGACCTACTCAGGTGCTTCTGATATTCAGCCTGGGCTCTGAGCCTTACCCCAAGGGGCAAGATACTATCCTGGGCAGAGGTCACCCTGTGCTACACCCTGTGGCCCTCCTCTGCTCCACAGCCAGCCAGGGACCAATCTGATCAGCCTTCAAAGAAAGCAAATACTTAGAAAATCTTAGGGCTAGGATGCTAACATTTGCCCTAGGATTACCAGCCATAGATTAGACGTATGAGCTGTTTTTCCCAACTTGGATACAGAGTCCTAGTGCCAGATATTAATAAGCTCAGTATTCTCTGGGGGAAACTCTCAATCTACTGACTTTTGACAAGGTCTGTTAGTGTCCAGGTCCTTCAGGGTTATTGCAACTACCCAAACTGCAACTTTTCTGGAAGCACCATGGCTGTCACTGCTGGGAGCTTTGCTGTGCTTTCTCCAGGCCAGTGCATGGTCCAGCCAAAAGAGTCTGGCAGTACCCTTTGTTCTCATCAACTCCCTACCTGTCCTATGTATTCTTTTATTCACTCATGCATTCAGTAAATATTTATTGTGCTATCACAGGGGGTGGATTCTACCCATATATATGGAAAGCCTCCTGGGAAAAAAAATCCCCAAGTAATTCGTTGGTACACCCAGGACTGAGAATCATGTTTCTAAATGTAGTAAACCTGAAATAATAACTTGAGTCAATGGTAGCTCACATTTCTGTAAGACAGTTTTGTAGAAATTATTTTAATTGTTCATTCTGCTTATCCAAGAGGTAGAATGTCAACTCCACTAGTGAAAGCAATCTACTGGTGGAAGCAGATGTTCCAATTTATCAAGAGTATCTTTTTGAAAGGACTATACATAAGTCTTCATTGAGTTTTACCTTCTAAAGTGTTTATTAGTTTAGGAAACTGACCACAGCAGTTGCTGCCTCCATTCTGGCTCTTCATGCTCTTGCTGACCTGGACACAGCCAAGTCTGTGGATGGCATGTTGCCGCCACCTAGTGGTGAACATGGAACTTTAACCTTGTGACTGGAATAAAAATCTCTTTAAGGAGGGAATTGGTAGAGTTGGAGTAGCAACATCAGTTTGAAAACAATCTTGAATCCCCTCTTGCCCTCAAACAAACAAACAACCCACCCAACCACCCTGATATATTCCTTCGACAACTTTAGGTATTCTCTAACTTTTTTTAAAAGGGCACACCAACGCTCGTTTTCCCCCTTTTCTCTATTCACACCCTACAGTAATTTTTCCTTCATTAAACAAAAAGTTAGAAATAAACTATCACCCTAACCTTTCAATATCTGTGAAATATCTAATGTGGATATGCAAACGACAGAGAATGCTCGTTCAACCTTTTTAATGAACCCTTAAACATCAAATGCATAGCGCTTCTTCTGATGAATGAAACATCTCTTCTCAGAGCCAGGAGAACAATTAAGAAGCACTCTGGAGGGAGACCTTCAAGATGGCGGGGGAGTAAGACGCGGAGATCA